AAAACACATACAATTCGTTAAATTGCATAAGTGTCCCAAGACTTCTGTCCAAGATTGTAGCTGGAGTTTAGTCGAATCTAACGCCCGCTCTCACTGATTGATTTATGGTCACCGGACAAAAATGGACAGCAATAAAGTAATTGTCGCCTGCTCTCCCACTAACTGCTTGCCATACAACTTTGCCCTAAACTCCAACTATATAACAAATCACTTACTCGCTGGTCCTTAGGGAAACAATCAGTTTTGCTTTACCTCGAAACTCGATGTTTCCTTCGCCTCCGTCTCACGAAACATCGAGATTCTCGGGAAAAGAAAAATAACTTTTCCACTCAAGACCAGTGATTAATTGTAAACTATTACATACTATTACATCTTAGTCTTCACATATCAATATTTCATCTTACACCCCTTTGTATACCTTACATTGCTTGACTGCTTGGCCCCTCTATGATTATTCCTGGAAAGCAGTACTCTATTTAAATTTAATATTGTTTTGTATCAAACTACTTTTAGAAAATTGCTACTGGAAAAACAAAACCCAGTACCTGTTGGCAAACTTGCAATCCTATTGGCTAGCATGGAACCTACATTTCATCCTAGGAGTGTAATTTTCGCGCGCGTGCCTTCTGGTCGTAAATTCAAACAATACTAGTCTATATTTAATAGATCAGTCACTCGGTTATCGGTACCTCACCTGCTGAAGAGCAGTAGTGTTGACTTCTTTCAGGTCACTTTGAAGTCTATTATCCTCCTGCCCTAACTCTTGTACCTAAAGTGCAGCAAAAATAAATGCCACATTTAAAAACAACGAACGCTGTAGATAGCTTTATAGTAGGTTAAGAAACGTCTAGTCTCAACGGATGAAATTTGGCCCGTCTTCTCCTTTTCTGCTATGCCATTGGCTTAGGCTATAATGCCACAGATATCGATGATGTAACAGCTTTATAACTAACATGAGGTAGGATTGGTCCAAATATAGTTTCGAAAGTAAATTGGTAAATTATCCTAGTTCACTTTGGTTACCATGAGGGTCTCAAGCATTTTCGTGTTTTTGTCGGGTGAAAAATACAGTCTCTACCTAGAGGTATGAAAACAATTATCAACTCGGCACGAAATAGTTAGAGCCAATGCGCACACTTTTATCTTGGTAATGTTCAAGTGTGAATTTTAGCGCCATTTTTTTCAAAATGGCATAGATAAATGCAAAATCCCATCTTTGATAGGGCCATTTGGATTTCAAATAATTTAGAAGCTACAGATGTGCAAATTTGACCATAGAGGTCAATTAGAATATGCTTTCAATAGAAACCTCGCGTCATGAACAAACCGAAAAAAAACAAAAAAAAAAACCACCTAATTTTGTCATGGGAATAACGTGTCCTCTCAAAACCTATGTATAAACCGTTCTCGTTAATTGACTCAGACGTTATTGGTTATTCACTGCGACTTACCTGGTCTGAAAAAGTTGTGTTTAACATGCCAATGACGTTTTGTAAGTTGCCAACTGAAGATTTCAGGTTTTCATCGGTGGAATTTAAACTTCTCTTAAGTGTTAAGAGATCATCTTGTACCTATGAATGGAAATGTGTGGATGAAAACTGAGGTTACAACAGAAACACATCTCTGATAGAGAGGTTTTGACTTTTAGGTCAAAAAAAAAAAATAGTATTTGCTTTGATTTTACTCGCGCCACTTTGAAATCCAACGAGAAGCACAGGCAACCAATCGTGATTCGCGCGCACAAATTTTCGTTTTTATTGGCCAGAGTGATTATTTATAATTGGTTTTACAACACTCAATTAGGAAACTACTCTAATGGTACGTGTTTCATCTAATTCTGACAGAAGAAAATGGTGGCATCTGCATGCTGACTTTGCCCGGTAAACCTAGACTATTTGCATATAAAATTCGGTTTTCACATGTCAAGGCTCGTTATTCCCAAGTGGCAAGCTCTGCGTGGAGAATGTGACAGAAAAGCCAGAGATCTTGATTATATTATCATTTTTTATCAGTTTTTAATACAATCGAAAAGACGATGATTAGAAGTTCTCGACTTGGCAGCTCTGTTCCTCCCCAGAAAAGAAACCTGTTTTGCCGCAAACTGGTAAGGGTTTTCCGTAGATGATGTAATTTGCCGGGGTAAAGGTATTTTGGGGGACATAAAGGGACAAACAGACAATAACTCGAATCGAATATTTATTTCTACTTGCTCCTGGCACCACCTTATGAAATCAGTCTGTGAATTTACGCTTTTTGTTGCGCTGACTGTACCACTGTGTTTGACCCAGCTTTGTTGTTATTGTCTAGTAAGCTTTGGATAGCGTCAACCTTTAATCTAAGCGGTATTCTGTCTCCACGTTCCCGCTATTTGTTCGTGAGCCAGCCAATGTATGTGAATACAGATAGGCCCTGATAGCTCACCATTCTAAGACTTAATTTATGAGGAATTTTGTGAAGCCCGTTTGAAGAAATTGAGAGGTTTTTTGTGACGCTTGTTTGGCGAATTTCAAAATTATCGGCCTTTTAATTTTCCAGAACATGTTGATATCTTAAACAATTTTCGTATTATAGGATCTAAATTTCAAAATTCAAATGTATCGGTTAAAAATTCTTGTCAAAAGCATGATTCACAAATTTTCCTAAAGTACGCATAAACATGACCAGATGTATATCTCGACAATGTTGGCCACTCCCAGACCTACCTCTAGTGTAGTAGTAACCAATGTGCCGTTGAGCTTATCGAGGTTGCTTCGTGTTGCTCCTAGAACTGATGACAACTGGTTTGTGTCAGAGTCAAGATTGTCGATCTGAAATGGTAAATAAATGAGGATAGAACCTTGGTCAAAAGTAGTACATGATGCAGGTGGGTAAGTTTTCATATCTGTGGTGTGAAAAATAATTAAATGGGTCGGCCTGCCTACCTAGGTTGATATCTCCTCATTAAATATAGCCGGGATAGTTCACCAGTTGCGTCTTTGCATTGCACGTTTCTCAGTGTAATGTTAAATTCGGTTAACATAAACTTATGATGTTTATGGTACACGCAATTCGATCACTTAATTGACCTCGTTGGTATTCGTTCAACCGTCGTTCAACAACTCTTGTTTAATTTTAAAAGCAGAAATTGAAAATCCGGTACCTTACGAGTATTTTTTTGTAAGGAATCTTCTAGAAAAAAGATCTGTAACAAAGAAACAGAAAAGCAAACAAACAAACAAACAAGCAAGCAACGGCACCATCTAAGTGGACAAATTTTAAAAAGTAAACGTAAAACATAAAGAGTACTGAATAGACTGGCTTACCCTTGTTTTCAGGGTTGTGTTGACATCTGACAAAGATTTCTGAAAATCACTATCTGCAGCTTGCAACTCACTCCTAGTTGAGCTTAGGTCTGTCCTTAGCACTTGAAACTCTGTCGTTCTCTGTTAAAAAAGTATAATGATAAAAACAATAAAGTTAGAGATCTCAATGGCTTATCCTTATTCCTAGTTTCAAATGTTAATATAATGAACTTCGAAATTGTAGCGCACCAAATTGCGTACAGAAGAAGTTTATCATTTAATCGTGTATCACGGGTCAAGCCTCACCATTTTAAAGGATGCCTCGGTAGTGTTCGTGAAGTTGTTAAATTTCCTTTCCATCTCATTAGCCAATGTAAATACAACTTCTATAGTCGAATCCAGTTGCTGTACCTAAAATTGTTCAATCAGAAACTAAAATATACAACTGCTATATGGTGAAACCGTCAAGCAAGTAAATTTGTGCAAATTCAAGTTAAATATTGTTTTGGTTCGGAATTTCTCCTGATATTTCGCGAGAAAACAGGATACTTGTAAGGATATTTTAAATTATTATGTCTCTCAGTTAGTACGCGCGCTGTGGTTGGTCAGTTTAGCGGGCAGTATTCTCGTGTACGGCCCGCATGAAATTTAAAGTTGTTTTTGTTGCCAAACTGTTCCGTGATTTATCGCCAAGTGTTCTTAACTTTTATAGCAAATAAAAGTTTAAAACTTTCTTATACTCTAAATTGTATATCAAAGCGTGCTAACGACTTAAAAGCGATTTTAAATTGGCTCGTTTTGCTTTCGAGGTGCGTCAGAAATCTTAAGCCGGATGTTCCGTGTGGATAGAAATTGTTCCCGAACCCGTCAGGCGCTTCTCGCTTGGGCCATAAATCGATGGGGGAAAAAAACTCGGTTCGTAACTTACAGTGCGGACTGAGAAGACGAAGTTAGTAAGAACTATATACTCTAAGGCAATATTTGTAGGAATATTGAATCATAAGGTAAATCGAGCTAAAAGTTAAGACAGTGATTGAAAACTAATAGTTTGTACGCTAGTAATGAATTAAGCAAAATGATAATTTTTTCCATCTAGTCTTGCGATCTTTCATTCGGTTTAGCTCCGTTCTTTTCTTACAAGTGTCCTGGACATTTTCGCTTCAAACACTTACAAACGTCGAGGTCACAAAAAAAAACTGGACTGGCGNCAAACGCAGGTATAATGGCTGGTAACCGAGATCCAGTGAACCAATCAGAAAGCTAGAATTGCATTATGCGAGGTTGAGAATTTAATAATCTAAATTATTATGTCCCTCAACTAGTACGGGCGCTGTGATTGGTCAATTTAGCGGGCCGTATTCGCCTGTACGGCCCGCATGAAATTTAAAGTTGTTTTTGTTGCCAAACTGTTCCGTGATTTATCGCCAAGTGTTCTTAACTTTTATAGCAAATAAAAAGTTTAAAACTTTCTTACACTCTAAATTATATATCAAAGCGTGCTAATGACTTAAAAACCATTTCAAATTGGCTCGTTTTGCTTCCGAGGTGCGTCAGAAATCTGAAGCCGGACGTTCCGTGTGGATAGAAATCGTTCCCGAACCCGTCAGGCGCTTCGCGCTTGGGCCATAAATCGATGGGGGAAAAAACTCGGTCCGTAACTTAGAAGGCGAGGTTAGTAAGAAGTATATACTCCAGGAAATACTTGTAGGAATATTGAGTCATAACGTAAATCGAGCTAAAAGTTAAGACAGTGATTTAAAACTAATAGTTAAGCTTTGTACGCTGGAAATGCATTTAAAAAAAAAAAAAAATGAAATCTTGCGATCTTTCATTCGGTTTAGCTCCGTTCTTTTCTTACAAGTGTCCTGGACATTTTCGCTTCAAACACTTACAAACGTCGAGGTCACACACACACACACAAAAAAACAGAACTGGTGTTAAATTTTTGCGTTTGATCGATGCGTTGCCGATGTGAACTTTAAGGTGGCTCCATACATAATCGCAGGGCACATTATGTGATCAACATTTTACATGATTAAATAACTAAAAAGGTTTTTAGATGTACAAACCTTGAATACAAAAGTCATGTTACCTTTTCGTCCAGGGTTCGATTTATGTTCTCAATGGAACTTTGTAATTTCTGCTCGGAGTCCAACAACTGCAAAATTGTTTTATTTATGTTGAGAATAATAGAAACAGAAGTAAATAAGCAATTAATCCTCAGCATGCTCAGGCAATACTGAACAACAGCAACAGCAACGCCAATTGCGACAGCAACATCAACAAAAGAACAGAACACATTCATAAAGTGTAGTTGTAAACAAAACAGTCAAGAGTAGATTTCTACCATTTACAGAAGCACAATTCTTAGAGAGCAGAAAAGGTTAAAAGCAGAATTCTACATTTTGTTGAAAGAGTGCAAAGGAACAAACCTTTGTGGACAGATTGAGCCTTGTTTCTTGAAGCGAAGAGGCTAAATCGCTGTCACTCATCTGG